CACATCTTCTGCAGTGGTGGTGTGGTGTGAGCATGTCCGCTGTTGTCCCTGCGTCTGCTCTCAATGCTTCTGGCGGGATTCCATCTGGTCTTGCTGCTTTCCCACATTTCAGTAGCTTTATGGCACTCAGGATTTCAACTTTTGTTGGAGGATTTGTGTTCACTTGTAATTTTGTGGCTGGGCTGTAGGTGGTATTTCTGGACGAAGTGCAGGTGGTGGTGGTGGTGGTGGTGGTGGTCGATTTAAGGGCTTTTTGAGGTGTCCAGCCCATTGTTTCACTCGTTTCTCTTCTTTGGTAATTATATTTCCTCCATCATCCTTTATTGGTTTAATCTGTGTTGATCTCTTCACTTCCAGATAGTAACATGGTTATTTGATACAATGTTGTCAGATCTCTGTCTCTCCTGCCTGCAGCCTGCTCTCCCTCACTTGCAAGTGTGTCGTGAAAGTATCTTTTGTCTTTCCGTGCACTCACTTCTTTTTTCAGTGTAGTGTTTTATAGGTTGTATTCAGTTCCTCTTCTCGTTGTTCGTCCTTGCACTGGTTTATCTTCTGTTTCACCATCCTACTGTCCCTGCTCATCAGCTTCCATGTGTCCATCGACATCCATTCCATTACCTCTCTCCTCTTTTCTTCTTCCTTCCTAACACGGTTATGCAAATTCTCTTCCACAGAGCTTTCAAAGAGTTCCAGTGTTCATCCATACAGGTTTCTTCAGGGATGTTCCTCGATATCTCCCATTTTGTCCTGATGGCTGACGTGAATATGTCCCTTGTATTTTCGTCCTGCAGTTCAGTTTCTGTGTGCTGAACTCGAACTTGGACTGTGGTCTATCGCCAACTTCTGTGAAGGCTTTCAACTTGATTTGGAAGGTGGTTTCCTTGCACTACATAGTGGTCTTAGCCTACATCTGCTGCTCTTCTTGACCTTGTGTCAAGTAGGCTGCGTTTCCACTTTCTATACATTGAGATTAAAGTTGATCTGATTTTTAGTGTGTCGTGGTGTCTGGTGAAATCAAATCGATGCCGCTTGCTTTGTGAATATCCTTGTGTTTGTACACAATGCCTCGCCTCGCCTCCAATCACCAAATCGTTGAATGCGCAGAAGTCTGCAAACAGTTCTCCATTCTCGTTCATTTCACCGAGTGCTTCTCGACCCATGATCAGTTCTCTTCCTGTGTTGTCCACTCCCAGTTTGGCATTCATGTCACCACACCCACATCAGAATGGATTTTGATGTCGCCAACTTGTGTGGGGTCTTGTCTAGTAGTGATTGCAGTTGTCTGTAGAATTCCTCCTTCTTCTCCTCATCTGCATTATTTGTAGGTGCACAGCATGGCATTGTATGATTGTGACTTTCCTCCCTTTTCAGTTGAACCTTGCTGTCATGATCCTGATCCTGCTGCTGGAGGAGATTGGTTCCCACTGCATGAGATAGAGCCTTTGATGTTCTTGGGATGGGGACATCATGATAGTCACTGGAAAACTCAGTGTGCTGTGCTCGTGGTTGTCGTGTCGTCTGTGTGACAATATTGGAGTCTATTATTGATTGACTTTGCAGTTGACAGTTTGGAGAGTCCACTTTCACTCCATCTACAGATTACTCTCAGATTCCTAGCCTTACACTTCTATGCCATACCTTCTCATCTCTTTTTCAGTCTGGTCAGCGTTGCTAGGTTCATCTATGGTGCGCACATTACATGTCTCCATCCTTACTTTCGCTTTCATCAAGAGGAGACATGTCGGCCAATTGTCTTCCTGAAGGCTTTCATCAACAGGCGTCATTTCGTCTCTTCGAATCCAGAGTGGAATAATTTTGGTTTTAATTTTTTTATATTTTGTTTGCGCTTTGAAGTTTCTTTAGCGATTGTAATGGTTTTATGGGGTAGGGTTGCTAGCCCTACGCCAAACCTTCCCTCATTACCCGGGCTTAGGACCGACAAGTAACTAGTGAACTAGTTAATTAGGCGAGGTCACCTAAAAAGATGCTGAGCGTTAACAAGCAATCATAAAAGTCACATGTTCCCACAACCGGGTTATAAGTTTGAAGTCATCTTACAATAAACTATCAACGTTGTTTGATGTTCACAGTAAACATCACCTAAAATTTAATTTGGATAAATCAACGCTACAATGGGAGGTGGAGTAGTGACCTTTTATTATTTGGTTCCAAACCAGTTTGTTTATTCACACCTTACTATTGAATAACTGAAAGGGGATACTGAAACGTAATTTCTTCAGTGTGCTAAATACAAATATCAAGGACGAATAGAGAAATTATAGTAGAGTGTAATTCCATATTGATTTTTTCGGTAGATATTGACTGAATTATCCAGTGAACAGTTCTACAATGGCACATAATATACCGACCGCTTACAAATAAACGAAAGTTATCAAACTTGAATGTGTTAATATAAACTGTTTTCATATGACATTGCAATAAACTTGTACGAATTATGAATATAATCAGACTGATGATAATTTGAACTCAATATCAACCGTAAATTTCAAATTTTCCCCTCTTTTAACAGGTAAAGGCCTATTTTCACATGGTTGTCAACAGATTTTGACATCTGAATCTACTTGTTATTCAACTTTTATCAAATAAATGAATTGGAAGCGAAGGGTTTTTGGTAACCCACTTATAAGTCACATAAACGGCTTAACTGACCACTCTACTTAGTTGTTATATATATATATATATATATATATATATATATATATATATATGTCATAACTGTGCTTCATAGCTTGTTAAACGCTGTTTTTGTTCCTACTGAACAACAACTATCAAAATTAAAACAAACGTGATATTCAAAGATTACATGACAGCAGATAAATGATAGTAAACATGGAATTTTAAAAAAAAAATGAAGGAATCGTTCACTAAGGTTTGTAAATAAATCAAACTGAATTCCAAACCGTAATAACCTGTGTCTGAGAATATTAATCACTGTGTTTCAGTAACTTTGGTCCTGTTCTAAAGTGAGTTTTCATTAACACACCTTTCCAGTGTTATATTTAGTGTAGCTCAGTTAAGTGATAAGGTTGAAAGGCCTTCAGAAAGTGTTTGCAGGGTGATTTTTACTAAGTTTGGTACTAAGAAGGTGAATACTTGGAAACTATTTCTTCATGGTTAGTTTACGAAATGATCATTTGTTTGTGCAACATTTGGTTACCTAGTTTCTGCAATATAGTTTACACTCACTAATGGGAACTATTTCATAATAATATCTATCTACAAAAATTTATTAGCCGGCACGAAATAGTCTGAGCACAAAAACACGTTCCTCACTTTGTCATAAAGGAAGAGATTTTCATCAGTCTTCCTTAAAATGGTGCTTCTCGTGGTGGCATTCTTGATTAGAGTCTTAACCCTGCCGCTAGAAGAAATTACTTTGCAGCTAGGGTCCGATTAGTAGAAACCACCAGACCTGAATACTCTTCCAAACCTTTAGGGCGTGTCAACAACGATGTTAGTTCCCAGGGGAAAACTCATAGATCCATGTAAGTTTGCGCCTTAGAACATATTCCAAAATGGCTTCGGAAAGAGAATGAATCACCTGAACGTTAGTAGCAGACGTTCAACTTCTTCGACACGAAACATGTCACTGAGATAGGCCACACGAGTGATGTGTCTACGTCCCTTAAGTTTGTTTATAAGCATATTAAGAAAGGATCCCTAAATTTGCCAGGGTCTTAGCTATTAGGAAGTTTAAACCACCTGTGTGTTCCAAAACAATTTTTTTATCACATTAAACCTCTATTGGTGAATTGAACTCTGAAACTAATTCCGATGTACGATTGTTTTCACTCTAAATATTGAAGTCACAGTTCTTAAACTTCCCAAAAACTGTCCATATCATTTCAGAAGCTTTTTACAGTACTTTGATATGATTCCTTTTATTGTTTATGGTAGCGAAACTCAGAATATCCATAGTGATGGACCTTCAAGTTTTTTTTTAGTTATTTATACCTCTACTGCAATAATTGAACATTTCTTCACTGAAATAGTAACTTAGACGCAGAATGTGAATCGCTTGTCATTAATAAAGGACTGAAATTAGACGTATAGCACCTCAAGCTTTTCATTCCCTGCTAGAAATCAGTCAATCGCAGTCAATAACAGATAATGCTCATCAGTCAGTTTGAGTTAGAAACAGGTCATATCAAGCCACATAATAATAACAGAGGTAACTGAGTTCGATGAAGCAGACAATATCAGCAAAAACAGTTAATCCTACCGATTAAAAATGTATGTTGCACAAACAGTTATTATTCAGACTCATCGCTTCGTTAGATAGCGAATGTTCACTTGAATTATGGGACAAGATGTTCTAGCTACTGTAAGAAAATCAACGTTGATGAATGCAAAACCAGATATCACACACAACTTATATTCAAATTATATGCACTGCATGATAAACAGAATACTAGTTTCAGGAAGATATTGTGAAAACGTATAGCATTTAGCACCAAATCACCTGTCAAAGTAGTGAGGGATCAATATTACACGAATGACATCATTGTATGAGTTGTCTACATTTATAGACTATAATAATTGATGAATTATGCACAAAACATGTTTGCATTGCAGCACACAAGCACGCCACCTAGACGCATCTAATCACACTGAAATCATTTATATATGTTGTCAAATGTGCAGAGATATTGCATATTCATTGGATAACAGAAATATTCTAATTCTGATACAAATTAACAATTGTACACATGTATGTTGGATCATTTTACTCTGTGTGTGCTGCATACCCAAGTGTACACTAATCTGATACATTAATCCAGATGTCAGATGAAGCTCATTTGATAGGCAGACACGATAGATATTCAACATGTTCAACTTATTTCCAAATGTTTTAATTACTTGTTAAACAAACAATCACGCAACCATAACAACGGTAATCATGATAACGATTCAATGTTCACTGAAATTATACTACTTAAAATAGAAAATTATTTAAAAACACTATATTTCAGATCACAATGAAAATCATTTTGAAGACCACGGTATTTCTATTAATAACTTTATCATTTATTCCATGCAGTAAGTCAGATTCAATGATAAATTAAAAAGTTTGTTATCCTATGGTATTTGTGTGAAGTTATGATGATTACAATTTTGTTTACTTGAAAACTGGATAGTAAGGATGATTAGTGATGAATTCGTTATTTCAGCATTATATATGTGCATTAAACTACGTAGACGATGACAGTCTCTCTTTTATCGTCGTAACTAACAGTTTAAATACATCCTATTTCATCAAACTGACGAAATTTCTGAAACCAGAAGATTTTTCATTGACTGATATAAATGCTATTTAATTAGGTACAGCTTCGTCAATGTTCATATGAAGCCAAACAGAACCATATACTGAAACCTAAAAGTCATCGGATATTTATACACTCACCCCTGATAATAAAATAAAAACATGGTATTCTGATCTATACATACTTATAATGGAGTTTGATTTTGCAGCGAAGTGCTTGACTAGGTTGTTTATTGAATGAAGACATCAACGAACAAATTTGTTGGATTGCAGAATAGAACGAAGAACAGATAGTGGCTTGGATACTACAGTCTACAGAAAACCAACACATTCCAACAGGTATCTAGACTTCAAATCATCTCATCCAATATAAGTTAAGGCACGTCTAGTCAAATGTTTAAGTGATACAGCTGTAAAACTGACTGGTCAGAGCAAGAACCCAAACAAGGAATTGAAACACTTAAAAGAAACGCTAATAGTTAAAAATTATTCTCCGCGGTTTATTAAGAAATTCTTACGGACACAAAAAATGAAAGAATAACAGTCACACGAGTGCGACTAATAACGACAACACGAGTGAAAAGGAGTTCACAGCCTCCATTTTCTTATCCTATAAGGAGGGTACATCAGAAACTTAAGGTGGAATACTCAACAGAGCTGGAACAAGGGTGGCATTTAAACCTACAAACTCACTCTGAGATAAATTTTGTCCGCCTAAGAATCTGATAGAACCAATGAAGCAGAATAAACTAATCTATCAGATTCCATGTAATGACTGTGAGGTCAAGTACATAGGTCAGACTGGCTGGTCGGGGTCAGTTAGATTAATAGATCATAGGAATTTAGCTAAATATAGGATGACAGACTCGAATAAGGTCAACAGTCCCAAAAAAAGCGATCAGCTACCGCACTGAATGCATTAACACACAACTACACAATAGGATGTATGGGATAAAACCACTGTACTTAGGTCCAATATGATTAGGTGAAGAGACAGCTTGATTGCTGAATCTTTGTTCATCGATTCAACATCCAACACATGCAACAGAAATGACGCAACGCCTAAGCCAAGGATACGGACAATTCTATTACCAATAGAAACAAAGAATGCGAGATAACAGGACTATAAAAATCGGATGTCAAAAGGAGTGTGGTCACATTGATGTAGTTATTGACCAACAATCCACTTTCGAAATGTCATCAAGTAAATGATGCTGTTTCGCTCTGTGTTATGAATCAAATAAAGAAATCTAATATGGTATCTAACTTCAGTCTAAGTCTAGAAAAACCTCCTCCTGAGTAATTTCCACTGTTTTGTGAAAAGAGTGTTACCATAGTTCAGAAGCTGGTTTCAACTAGACTGTCGCCTTCAGCTGATCTCACTTTAGAGAATCCAGTAATTTATACACGACATTTTGCTTCCTGCCTAAAATCGTTGTTGGTGGGAAGTAGGTACTTGGAGAAGTATATCAGCAGAAAATCACTGCCATTGATGTTTTGTTAGTTTATGGCACCGAAGCTAAATCTCAGGTACGTCTCCCTCTAGCTTAACTTCCCCTCATGTGCTGAATTCTTTTATCTGGAGTGCTGCATAGCAGTTCATACACAGTGTCATTATGTCAGTGTTGAGTCTAAACTCTAAGGCATCGTCTAATGGAGCTGGTAAATAATTCATGGAATGAATTATCTAGCTATCAGTGTAAGTGAAGAAGAACATAAGAATGATAAGGGCAAAATGTGCTACTGCAGACAAAAGCAGATTGTAAGAGAAGGCACTCAAAACGATTATATAAAAATGTTATGCTGCCTAAGATGACAGGCTGTGAGATGTCTTCCAGTGTGTCAAGTGGGGAAAAATGATATCTTCATTCAAAAACCGAAATGAATTCAGTTGTGTCTGTATCAGATTTTTAAGGAATTTGTTTGCCTTCATTTCACGAATTTGTGTCGTGGACTGTAGACATTTACGAGCTTTATTTTGAACTTTCCTTTTAGAAAGATTAGAGACAGAGTTTATGAAGTAGTCAGTCGAACGTGGACAACCACCTTAATATCCTCTTTTGGAACTTTTCTCATTCTGGTTAGATTTTTTTGTACCTCACTATGGGATGAAAACAAGTTTCTTACTGAAAAAGCTTCGTCTTAGACAAGACTATTTAGTTTATAAAAGGTTTTATAAAGAAGTACTTGATAACATTTCACAAACTTTAGTAATTATCTTACCTTCTGATAGTACTCACATACGAATCAACATAAAAGTGAAAAGAATAATCAGAACTATTCAACCGTTATTTATACGGGTACATGGAATACTACCAGCATAACCATTCTAAATATCATCATTAGTATTAGGTTTCTAGAATAGAGTAGAGAGAAGCAATGAAAGGCATGGGTGAAATGATGAAAGATTCAGAAATCTGATGATAGTTCGGTGTTTTCTGAGACTTGAAATTTTGTCTTGGTCTTGTCATAACTAAGCCTGATAACACTGTCTGCATTAATATAACAAACATTCCCGTTTTCAAAATTTTTATGAATGTTTAACAAGCGTTTTCCAACTATAAGTTGGAGAAGAGATTTTTCAAACACCTTGATCACTGTGAGGAAACCTTTGTTAGAGTAGAATTGTGCTATTTGTAATTGTCTAAGTGTACTAAGTTATTGATTTGTCTGGATAATTTTTTCCTGGTTGGTGGATGGTTGTTCTTTCACTAAGCAGATTATAAATTGCACATATACCTAAGTTTCTGATGATTAATTTTTGACTGGAATTCTGGGCTTGTAGAAATACTCCCACAGCTTTTGAACCAGGTCTTTGTAGGATTTTTACATTTCCCTAGTAGAATTTTTCATCATGATTGTCTACTTTCATTGAAACTAAGGACGACACGTCTTTTCGCTTTACTGTTATTTGGTGCTTATGAATCCTTTGTGGTTTCTCTTGTGGGTTACACTTTTCTTGCTTTCCTTTAGCAACGGATCCTTTAGCTTGTACAAAATACTTTGCCCTGATTTCCTTAGTTTACGTGCCACGCTAACAAAGATTTTCTCCCAGTGTGGACCAATGAAACTTAAGGTCAAAGCTGTCAAGGGATGAAATACATCTCCTCTAAAATTACAAACTGACAATCCAGTAGGAACACTACCGTAACACTCGTATGAAATCTGAACATACTCCAGTTCATTGAATTAGTACTGATGGTATCACCAAGTTTGGTGATGACAAGTCCACGACAAAATATCAAAGCTCATTGAATCCCAGACCATCATCACTTTCATCCCGAGTGTTACAGATTTTCTACTTCAACTCAGGAATTTGTACAAATGTAGCTAATTGCATGCATTATAACTGCCTATGAAAAACATAAACTAGTCGTGTTCCAGAATTATTTAATGATAAATAAGTGTGTTACTTCACTTACATCAGGCAGTGGGAATGAAACTAATATCACTGCAAAGGAACTTGAGTAGTCGCAAATCAGACGTCTATGATTTTTACTATTTTGCATTGTATTCTAGCCTTTTATATTCACAAAAACAGCTACAGTTGGTTAAGTGGTTTCTTTTCATCTGACTTAGATGTCTACCAGTTAGTCTTTCATGCCACGTGACTATAGGTCCGTGACTTCAACGTAACACTAATTATTTGTCAGCACACTGTGATAAATATCTCTGTTAGCAATTTGGTGAATATGAAGTCATGGTATTAAAGTAGTTGAGACAAAGACCAATTCTGAATTTCATATGAATGGAGATAACGGAGGTAATTGTTGCCTATGCATAACTTTTCTACACAGAAAAATGCCGGATGGTTATTAGATGATTAGATGATGTATTCAATAAGAAACCCTGCTCTACTTAGGTTTCGTATTTGTTCACACTCGTCAGTGGGGCGTAACTACAACCTCGAATTAACTGATTTTCCATTCAGAGATAAGAACTGAAGCGACTGCAAAGCTCAGGGGAAAGTTCTCTGACTGCACCTTTGATTGGTGCGGTTTCGAATCTCTCGGAGACATCAGCTTCTGAAAGGTTGCTGAAGAATGTGAAAAACCACATAATCTATAGCTTCTAAGCTTCCTGCTGGTTGGTGTTCACACTACAAAATCAATGGTAGAATTCGATCAGCCCTTAGGAAAAGGTAGAATGAATTCAGTTACATTTCAGTAGCCAATCAATCCAGTTATTGCTGTTGTTAGTTCGACCGTTGATTTCTATTAAATTTCAAAATAACATGCTATTAGGTGAGTGATTGGGCGGATAAATCTTTGTCCTATGATTCTCTGCATATCTTCAGTTGATTAATCACTTTAAAAAAGGAAGAGAGGAACACTTACGGGTTCAAAGAGTTTTGAACCTATAGACAAGGCCGTTATTGAAACACAAATGGTCAAGAATTTTAACGATGATCCGAAGGAAATGTTGGATGCGATTCCATTTTGGATTGGTTTATTGGATGTATCTGCTGCATAAAACAAACTAAAGAATGAAGATATCGTAGAACGTAACACTAAACCAGCATTTTGTGTGATTACCTTCTTATGATCATGAACAATAAGTTGTGTCCGAAGTTTTATGCAGTAAATAATACTGTTTCATTGTGTGATACATTTAATAAATAAACTAAAACGGAATTGTATCATGCATTAAGCCCTCAGTCCTACTCAAATATAACATTTTTATTCAACGGTCTCATATTACATTGACAACTAGACAAATCTTCAAAAGAATAATGTTATACTAGAACTAAGAACTAGGATATTAAATGTGTGTCGAC